CTGACCACACCTGACTCCTTGCCTTGGACCCCTCTTCAGCCTTGACGGACAGCCTCCATACCACACCCTCGACCTCGGACTGGACTCGGACCATGCCGCACGGTAACCCCCTGGGACCAGCACATCAGCATTCTTTGGACCATGTGAGCCACAAATGCAAACTGTCTTAGTTCAAACAGTTAACTTCCCCAGGAGTTCATAGGTGTTCACATTCTGCTTCATCAAACACAATGCATAGTTTTGTGGCAGCAATAGATTTATTGTTTATTTCGTGAACTACAGTCCATATTACTGGAAAGCTCTTTATGGTTTGGGGTCCATAGAGAGCAGTTTGGCCCCACAACATCTTGAGAACTGCCGTCTCCCGACGGAAGTCATCAGCTGCAGCCCTACCTCATGCCCTGCTGTCATCAAGGTATGGTGGGCACAGTGACACAAAATAGGGTACCGGCACCAAGGGACATGGGTGGCGCTGTGGTCTAAACCACTGAGCCTCTTGGGCTTACCGATCAGAAGGTCGGTGGTTCAAATCCCCACGATGGAGTGTGCTCCCGTTGCTCTGTCCCAGCTCCTGCCAACCTATCAGTTTGAAAGCACGCCAGTGCAAGTAGATAAATAGGTACCATTGCAGCAGGAAGGTAAATGGCATTTCCGTATGCTCTGGTTTCCATCACAGTGTTCTGTTGCACCAGAAGCGATTTAGTCATGCTGGCCACATGACCCAGAAAGCTCCCTGTGGACAAATGCCAGCTCCTTCGGCCTGAAAGTGAGATGAACGCTGCAACCCCATAGTCGCCTTTGAGTGGACTTAACCGTCCAGGGGTCCTTTACCTTTACCGGCACCCACAATGTAAATTTCCCTCCCCTAAAGTTTCATGTGACTGCTGCAATACAGACTTTCTGCCATACTATAAACATTGTTTTATTCTACTGTAATTTTTTACTGCCTAACTCTTTCTTCTTCTTCTTCTTCTTTTTGGTTAGGGTACTCTGTAAGCTGCCTTGAGGGTCACCGGGGAGAAAATTGGCCTATAAATTTTTAAAAGTGAAGCAATAGACCATCAAGGCTACACCTCTGGAAGGTGTTATTCCCGTAGCAGTTGGATGGGAAGGGCAAGAGGGGACAGGGCTGCTTATCTGGCTTCCCAACAAAGGGTCATGGCCCATTATCAAGAGGGGGAGGTGGGAGGTTGTAGGGAAGTCAGTACAGTGCAGCCCCAATGGCAGAGCCAATTGGATGTTCCCGCCACTGTGTCCACACCAACCTGACCACTTCTCCCTTCTCTCTCTTTATAATTGGCAGTGACCCTGGTGATGTGAAGGAGGATAAGCAACAGCATCCCTCTCACCTTGCCTGGCTGATTGCTGCTATGTTACTCTGGTTCTTTGTGGATCTTGCATTGCATTGTTTTACAAAATAATGTTTGGGATGAGAGAGAGAAAAAAGTTGTGTGAATCCTGCATACCTGACTCTTGGACCCCAGACTAGTGTTTTGTAGGCTGTTTGAAGTGACGTTCATTAATGAAAGATTGTCAGTCTCAAAAAAGTGTCTCTGAAACGAATGGGAAAGAAAGACGGGGTGTGTACTAAAATGGTTTGTTCGCATTCATCTCAAACTAGTGTCAAAGCGAAAGACTTTTATGTTGAAAGAACGGCTGAAGATCGGGACAAAAAGGAAATGGAGTGATTGATTGACAAGTAGGAAATGATAACATGAATTACTTACAAAAGGTCAGACCTACCTGCCTGCTGAGGCTTTTCAAATACCACACAGATTATTTGTATAGCGAATGGTTGGTATTTAACCTCATTTGAATGGACTGCTATGTGTTTGCTCTGTTTCTAACTTGGAAGTGCCTAGGATAATATCTGTGTTATATTCAATTTCTTCCTATCAATACATTCCTAATGAATATTTGACCTCTTCCAGTCTCTTCGGATTTTGGGGTGGGGGGTGGGAGTTCACCTTGAGAACCATAATTAGCTGCTGTGGCAAGGATTTCAAGGGCTTATAGGTTTCTTTGCAGTTTTCTCAATGTTGAGTTAGGTTATTATTGGATGTTCTTGTGAAAACTCAGTAAAAGAATCTTAAAGATGTCCTATCACGGGTAAATCATTGGTTTTGAGAGGCTTTATCTGACTTGTCGCATCATCCCCCCCCCTCCCCATTTCCAATGTTTTGTGTGTGAGTGACATTGCCTACATAAAGGGCAGTATACAAATCATCAACATCAACATCATCATCATCTGTACCTAGATATAAAAGATGTATAATCTGTGTTTTCATGCAATCCAATCCAATGCATGTTTGTTCACAAGTCAGTCCCATTACATTCAGTGGGACTTTCTGTTCTTTAAATGGGCACAGGATTGCAGCATTAGAATAAATACCTTTGTCCACCAGTGCAGTATTTTGCAGTACCCTAACTCCAGTCAGCAATCATTTTCTAAAAATATAAAAGTAAAGATCCTGTAAACCTTTGAAGTTCAGTTTATCTATTGAGACACTGCAATCATTATCCATTTTCCAGTTCTTAACAGCGCAAGAGGAAAATAGTTAAAGGTGTACTCAAGTTGTTGGAAATACGGTGGCACAAAAGAAATCTGGAAATTTTAATATACTCTTTGCAGCTGGTTCCTATGTCTCTATACAAATTCTTGCCTCTTCTGAGATTGAAGGGTGGGAGGGACACAACAGACAAATATGTGCCAAGTAGGGACACGTAAATAATTATCACTGGATCAATAAATCCATACAAAACAGCTTATTTTGCAGTAGTACAATGTACTAGCTGATGGATTTTTGGAAGAGGCTTTGTCTGCTGGAAGGCTCATTATCGCATAAAAGCAAAAATGGATTCAAAGTAATAAGGTTCAGCACCTCCTTCTCTCTATGCCCACACATTTTTTGCTAATGCAAAGGGACAAGATCCAGGCTCAGTATTGTAAGAAGCTATTGCACTGTGACTAAGAGCTATCTGTTGCTTGCTGTGCCTAGCCTTGCTACCAAATTGTGAGTAAAAATGAAGGGAGAAGGAATGGGTTTTCTGTGCAGTCAGTCTGAAACGGGACCCAAAATCCTCATTTTTCCTCCTCCAAGGGAGCATTTCTAAAATGCATTAACTTGAGCTCTTGAGTCAACGTATAAACAGAAAGCCAGCTGTATAAACAAGTGCTCAAAGCCCTCTCCTTTATCAGTCTGTGACGGCAATGGATGACCTTGCCAGTTCCAGTGGAGCAGGGATGGCACGTCTGGGTCTTATCTCACATCCTGACCACAAAGACGCACAGACCTTGTCAGGTCTGACAAGAGACCAGGAACGGCGCCAGGAGTGCTCTTAGAGTTGGTGACCTCCTGCCCCAAGATAAGAGTATAGGAACAGGAACAACCTTTTATGGTCAAGAGTACCGGAACAGGAATATCTGTTTATGGGCATGGATGTCAACTTACATGGTTGGATTCCTGGGAAAGGGGGGAGAGGGTGCCTGGAGGATATATATACTGCATGAAATTTCTCATTTCTTTGGACTTGCTGTGGACTGACCACACAAGTGCCTTCTGCTATCTGGAGAGCAGAATAAACTCTTTCTCTGAATCAACCTCGGTGTCATTTGACTTCCTTTCTCCCTCCCAGGAGCAATGCAGACCCCACCAGTCGGTAGAGTCTAATAAGGCTACAAAACAAAATTTAAAATGAATGTGAAAGAGGAGCAGAAACATCTGGGGGAGGGGAAGTTGTCTGCTCAGGAGGAACATCTGGGGGGAATTCATTTTTGGGGGGGAGTGGAAAAAATCCTATAAAATTAGCAAAAGTTCTTTGATTTTTTAAAAAATGGTATGTATTGCATCATTGCAGGCTGCCACTAGATTTCACTGACAGTGAGATTTCAGATGAATATGTAGATAAGCCTTGGGTGTCCCTTCCATCTTATGATTCTGTGAAAACTCTGATATTGAGAGATACTGAGTTTCTGTGGATCTGTGGGCAGTGGTGTAGCAAGGTCAGGTGGTACCCGGTGTGGAAAATTTCTTGTCACCCTCCCCATTGAATTCCCTCCCCCTGCAAAAATGCTTTGACTTGATTTCATATTTTCTTACAAAGAAATGTGGATTCTGGACCTCTGATAACAAGTAGTCGACTGTGGACAGATATTTAAATCTACAGGATGGATTGTGCTTTGGCTTGTGTTACAGTGGTACCTTGGGTTAAGTACTTAATTCGTTCCGGAGGTCTTTTCTTAACCTGAAACTGTTCTTAACCTGAAGCACCACTTTAGCTAATGGGGCCTCCCGCTGCTGCCGTGCCGCCGGAGCACGATTTCTGTTCTCATCCTGAAGCAAAGTTCTTAACCCGAGGTACTATTTCTGGGTTAGTGGAGTCTGTAACCTGAAGCATCTGTAACCTGAAGCGTATGTAACCCGAGGTACCACTGTATTTTAATTATAGCAAGCATGTTCCAAGAGACTGCAATCTACTCACACTATAAATAAACTGGCAGTGATCTACTCATTGGATTGACCAATCTTGTCCAGCTTTTTTGGGGGGGGATCCAAAGTTGCTGAGCTCTTGGGGGAAGCTTGCCGCCCTACAGCTGAGGGGGACGCGGCGGGCGAACCGTTTTGGCAGCGGGAAGCCTGCGCATGCCTAAACAGCAGCGTCCCTCACAGACGGTTAGTGCCGCACACCATTTTGTCACCCCCCTCAGAGGTGACACCCAGGACGGACCACCCCCACCTTGCACTGCCCCGTCTGTGGGGAGCAGAAAGGAGGAAACTTTAGAGAGGCAAAAAGAAAAGGAAGCATGGGGAAAAGGTTCTGCAAGTCTCTTCCAAATTTGGGGACTTAATGAGGGACCCATCAAGATCAGGGACTTAAAAGGGGAGCCTGGGAGGACTTTCAGAGTGCAAGGGATTATTGACAGGTGAGAGGCCCCACCTACATGCTAATCAAGTGATGTCATAATGGCATTCTGTGGTTGGTAAGTGGTTGGCCCCACCCACCTGTCAGATTTGCCCCATGAAGCCAGATCTCCATCCCCAGATTTGCTTTCTGATCTGGATACAGCACAAAAGAGCAGCTGAATGTTTGGATTGGAAACATTTCTGTTCCCTTTTATTGCAAGATGTAGCAGCGACGCATTCTCCTGAAGAAGACCCTTTTCTATTGCTAAGCACAAATTAGCACGCTAATATAAACCTCACTGCTATAAAAATGAGCGGCGAGTAATAATTTTACCTCCTTTCTTACTGTGACCATTTGTAGCCAAAAGTACACCTGAAATTAATAAAATACTTGTTGCAAAGTCCGGACACCTTCACTTTGAAGCAAGGTAAGGAGAAACAGAGTTCCTCTATAAATTCAAAGGATGTGTAATTGGTAAAAGTCCAACTAATAGCAAATCAGTTCAACTACCGTGTTTTAGATTTCTTGCGACATCAGCTATCCCCGAAATTCCATTAAATATGATTAGTTTAATTATTTTGTCCTTAGTAGAAGAGTGCTAATTAACTTGGTAATGATAAATATGCATTTGAATGTCAGTTTAAAACCCCTAAAGATTCTCATTATCCTTAAAATCTGAGGTATGGATTTTTTAATTTTCTTTTTTTTCTTTTTAGCATTAGGACCACCACAGAAAAGATTTCTTAAAAGTTGGGAGAGGAACTCAAAGGTAGCAGGCATTAAAATGTCGTAACAGTTCTGTAGCTCTTATCAAGGCTTTCTTCCAATGGAAAGAAAAAAGAAAAGTGAATTTTTGGTGCCACCTTTTCTTCAAATGCTATCCCCATGTGGATAACAGCAATACAAATGAAATAAAACAGAGTACAATATAATAAAGGAGCAATAAAAGAAAATGTAAAAAGGATGCCTGCATTCTCAGTGAAGACTCATTGAAATCAATAGACGCAAGTAACGATTAGAGTGAGCGTAGCCTAGTTGGAAACAACCAGTTTAAACCAATTTTAAACATTTTTAAATGTATTTGCAAATCAGATTGTGGGTCAAAGTATTGATGAAATAAAATGCAGTTGCCTGGGCCTGAGGATCATCATAGATGGGGATGGATGGGCTACCACTGGCAATATTTATCAGTCAAAGACCTTATTGGAGTGTGAATGCTCTGAACATGTGACAATAAAGATTAACTTGATAATAATAATTTTGTTATTTGTACCCCACCAATCTGACTGGGTTGCCCCAGCGACTCTTGGCAGTTTTATTCTACATTTGGTGGGATGGGGGAGGGGGGTGTTTGACATTTTATTTGTATTTTTATTGCTTTACAGAAGCTGTTGCAAAAGATGGAGTGAAAATAACTCAAGTAAGTAGGTAAGTAAAAGTTTAATGCAGGCTTTCTCAACCTCGGCCCTCCCGATGTTTTGAGACTACAATTCCCATCATCCCTGACCACTTGTCCTGCTAGCTAGGGATCGTGGGAGTTGTAGGCCAAAAACATCTGGAGGGCCAAGAGCCTGGTTTAATGCAACACGGTCAGTATACAAATGAAATAACTACCACAATCACACGACTTAAGTTTCTGGCTATTCCCTCACTGCAAGAAGTGAAGCTACAAGAAACCAGGCAGAGGGCCTTCTCAGTAGTGGCGCCCACCCTGTGGAACGCCTTCCCATCAAATGTGAAGGAGATGAGTAATTATATAACATTTAGAGAACATCTGAAGGCAGCCCTATATAGGGAAGCTTTTGAAGGTTTAATATTTTTACTATGTTTTTATATATGCAGGAACCCACCCAGAATGGCTGGGGCAACCCAGTCAGATGGGTGGAGTACAAATAAATTTATTATTATTATTATTATTATTATTATTATTATTATTATTATTATTTACTTGCAAGACAATACGGGAGGAGGGAGAATAGGAGAGGGAGGGAAATTCAGTCCACTTGGTCAGTGACATCACTGGATGCAACCCAATATCTCTGACACACACTGTACTACTCCTCTAGCTGTCTGAGACCATGGGAAAGTGGAAAACGCCAGTGAAATCAAGGAATGGATTTTACACGTCCTAGGTTTTCCCTAGACTATAGCACTCTGAGATATGTATTTGACCTATGACAGTGCTAACCCCCAAGGATTTCATTAGAAGGCAATGCGGCATTCTTACATTTCCCCCTGCGAAGCGTTCTGTAACTTACAAAGTTACAGAAGAAAACTGGAGAGGAAGATGCCAATCTTTTTTTGCCACCCCAAGGTGATGATATTCGGTGATATCATTGGTTTATCTCACGTTCAGGTTAAATTCTACATTGAAGTACATTTGATCTTCAATGTATGTGAGTTATGAAGGTGCACTAATTAATGGAAGACTTGATACGATGGCACAAAGACAATTTTCCTACTCCTCTTTATGTTGCTGAAATCAACCCATGCCAGGATTTATTACTTCTCGCAGGCTTGACCCTGTCAGCCAATCAAAGTTGCACATGTCTTCTAATTAAAAAAAGTAATTTCCCCAGTGAGTACAGATGTTTCCCTATAACTTAGTTACACATCTGTGCAGTCAAGAAGATAGTGATTACACTTCATATATCCTCGACAGAATTGGGACTAATGAAATGTTATGGTTTGGGACATTTTATCAAACGCAACGAGACCAGTCATTGGGAGGAGATCAGTGTTGCTCACCCACACTGTACTCAGCATTCAGAAATTCCTTGAGATAACTTCTAAGAATGTCGTTAACGCTGCTCAAAAAAATCCAAAAAATATATTTAAAGGATGACTATGCTCTCTGAAGGATGAAATCTGAGCTTGATGTTGTCAATGATCCATCGCCTGAGCCTCTTAAAGTTGCAATAATACAAGGGCTATGAAAAGCAAAAGGGATGTAAGTGCCTTCAACTTACAATGATAATGAGTACAACAGTTTGCAGGCATAGCTGTAAATCAAATGAACTGTAGCTATAAAGGAAGCACTAAGGCATTTGGATGGGATCCTGGACTGCTTCTACAATAAAAAAGGGAGTTGTGCATTCAAATGAGAAGCCATCCATATTAGGTTCTGAGGAGCGCCCTGAAATGCTATTGTCTTTGGAAAACTACCACTCAGAGTTCTTATTTAGTTTTTGGTAGGTTTTTAAAATTAATATTAAATAATATTACTGATAAATCATATCATATTTATCAGTAATATTATTTAATATTAATTTGATACAACAATATGATATAAAAACAATATGATATAAAGATACGTACAGAGACACAATTGATAGAGGAGATCTGTGTGAGAGACAGAATAGGTAAAGGTAAAGGACCCCTGGATGGTTAACTCCAGTCAAAGGCAACTATGGGGTTACGGCCCTTATTTCGCTTTCAGGCTGAGGGAGCCAGCATTTGTCCACAGACAGCTTTCCAGGTCATGTGGCCAGGATGACTAAACCGCTTCTGGTACAAAAGAACACTGTGACGGAAACCAGAGTGCACAGAAACGCCGTTTACCTTCCCATCACAGCGGTACTTGCACTGGCGTGCTTTTGAACTGCTAGGTTGGCAGGAGCTGGGACAGAGCAACGGGAGCTCACCCCGTCAAGCGGATTCGAACCACTGACCTTCTGATCAGCAAGCCCAAGAGGCTCAGTGGTTTAGACCACAGCGTCACCGATGCACAAAATTGAGAGGTTTTTCTCAGGGTGAGAGGCTGAGAAAGATGGGTGCTGTCCAAGGTCGGAGCTGGAAAGATGTGGATCTCTGTTTGTGAATTGAAGATTATGATAGAAGGTTGATAGACTATAATTTGGGTCTATTTCTATTTCTGTTTTGTTTTGTTTTTCCTCTCTTTTCTTTCCCCTTTTATTATTTTGCTCTTTCTTGATATTAGCTTTGTTTGGCTCTTATTGTATTATATGTTTAATAAAATTGATGAGGAAAAGAAAAAGAAAGGAAAACTACTCAGCCAGTCAGATTTATTGCACATAGCCAAAGGCTGCCGCAATGTACACAGAATCATTCAACAGTTAAAAGGGAATATGCTGGATTAATTTAAAAAACTTAAAACATTTATATTATCAAAACATTACCTACTCTAAACAGAGCTATAGACGTACCTTAATATACAGGTTAAGACATTAAACAATAAAATTTATAGGCTAAAATTACCACATGGCCACTAATATATTAAAAATAATGTTAATTAATACAATGTACAATTATATTCGGAGTTTGGTGATAAAGATAGAATATAGCTTGATGTAGGTAGCGACAAATATATTCATTTCCTACTACTCAGTCACGTTCCACTTCTTGGAGCTGGCACAGCTAACTTATTTCACTTCAGACCATGTTGGACCAAGTCAGGGGAGGAGAACCTTTGGCATCACGAGGGGCATGTTACATTCTGGGCAACCTTCAAAGACAGACACACCACTGGGAGGTGGAGCCAGACACAAAAATGGGTGGAGAAACAGATGTGAATTCTACCTTTGTTCAGTAAGCCAGTTTCTACATGTACCTTTCCCTCTCTATCCACCATCCAGCCTATCAAGAGGTGTTGTCAGAGTTCAAGGGTGCGTGCTAACCAGGTGAAAGCACTGAAGGATGTGTGTGCAAAGCAAGGCTGATGTCAGGGACTGTGCTGAGGAGGGCTGCAATGAGGAAGAATGGTGGGAGCCACCCCCTCCCCCGATCCTAATCCTAAATCTTCCCAGGAACAGGAGGACAGTATAGATTTGGAACAGTGGTTTGCAGAGGGGCATAGTTCAGAAGGTAGAAGCTGGGAAATCCTGGATGGGGAACAGCTAGGAAAAGAAACACTGGAAGAGAGAGGGTTAACAGATTCACAGTCGTTTGAAAGCATTCCTCCACTCTCCCCAAGGTCACAAAAAGCTCAGAAAGTGTCAGAACAGTAAGATCAGAGGGTACAAGCTCAGATTACAAGACATAGGAGTGATGTAGATTAATAGGGATGGAGGGGTTTAAGCCTTAATTGGGAGCACTGCCATTTCTAGGAGATGTGTTCTTTGTTCTCTCGCTGTGATTATAAAAGAATTCTAACCGGTAAGACATTCCTTTCATTTGCTCATCTTATCTACTGCCATGGGGGGCTGCGGGAGGCCAATTCCCTGAAGCATGACAGCTGGTGAAGAGGATTACATGAGGAAAAACCGTGTGGCTAAGGCATGGCAAGGGGAGCATTTGAAGACCAAAAAGAGAGGCCTGGAGGCTGCATTTGACCTCTGGGTCAGAGGTCCCCCACCCCTGGGCTAAATGAACAATTTATGCTACAGAAAGAAAATTCAATTGTTACAAACAAAAATTAAAAAGAGTTTCTTCCCCCCACCTCCTTGAAACCTCATGATCTATTCCTGTAAGATTCTTCTTCTTCTTCTTCTTCTTCTTCTTTGGTTAGTGGTTTTTATTTACCTACATACCATGTTTTAAGATGAGTCCCACCTCCCACAAGGTGGCTTACAAATACAGCTATAAACCACACACACACACACACACACACACACACACACTGTACCTCTAGAAAAAGAGGTGCCAGAACTTTTCCCTTGTTCTCTTACAATGGCAATGGTGCCCACCAGAGAGCTGGCAGAGCTGAGTTCTCTGTGTGTATACACACACACACACACCATACTTCCCTATGATTAGTTAACTGGGATATAGACAGAAATTCAGAAACAAACTGAGCTCAAAAATATCATAGGCATTGTATGGGGCTTGGGAAGAGGTCTTTTAAAATTTGATCCTGCGGTGTCATTTTAAACTTTGTGTTGTTGTTCTTTTTTTAAAAAAAACGAGCTGCCTGCATGAGTTTGGCTTCCATTTCAATTTGGAATTTCCTTCTCTGAAAAGAATTCTTGTAGCAGAAGAACATCAGAGGTG